CCGGAGGCTACTGCAAACATGACAGTTTCCACCGGGGTCTTCACAGGGGTCTCGCTACCGGAGGCTACTGCAAACATGACAGTTTCCACCGGGGTCTTCACAGGGGTCTCGCTACCGGAGGCTACTGCAAACATGACAGTCTTCACCGGGGTCTTCACAGGGGTCTCGCTACTGGAGGCTACTGCAAACATGACAGTCTTCACCGGGCTCTTCTCAGGGGTCTCGCTACCGGAGGAAACTGGTAATATGACAGTCTTCACTGGGCTCTTCACAGGGTTCTTGACCGGTCTCTTTCCACCGGAGGCTACTGCAAGCATGACAGTCTTCATTGGGCTCTTCACAGGGTTCTTGACCGGTCTCTTCCCACCGGAGGCTACTGCAAGCATGACAGTCTTCACCGGGCTCCTCACAGGGGTCTCGCTACCGGAGGTTACTGGGGACTGCATGACAGTCTTCACCGGGCTCTTCACAGGGGTATTGCTGCCTGAGGCTACTGTGTTTATGCCGGAGGTATTTGGGATTGCCAGGCCCTTAAATCGTATACATTCGTCCTCTTCCTCAAGAACAGCAGCACTCTGCTTCCTGGGTTTTAGCTCCTTTTTCAGCCTGGAGCGCAGGGTCTTCACCTCATCATTGAGGGCATCCTTCTGAGCCCTCAATGCCACATTTTCCAGCATCACCTGCCTGCAGTCCTCGTTGTCACACTCGGTATGTGGGGAGAAGGGTGGAGGGTGCCCGGGGTATTCCTCCTCATTGTCTATATCCAATGATGTAGCCATTCCAATGATGGGGTTAGTCTCACGGAGGTCATGGAGCAACTGCAGTGCCACACTATGCTTCAGCCTTGCCATGACCTGATGTGCCTTATGTCGGGACAACTCAGGGTGGTCATGTTTTACATGACGGTCCAGTCTCTTCCCAGCGTACGAACACCCAGCGATGGGACAGGGTTTGGTCCGAACATTTATCCTTCCACTGGCTATTTTCAGGAGGATTCCCCTCTCCTCCAAGTTCCGCACTGCATGCTTGTGCTTAAGGTGTTTGTTCAATGCCAGATAGAAGAGTCTGCACACCGGGCATTCAGATGACATCCTTCCTGAAACACACATAATGATTTTGATCAAAATTATGTTATAGTTCTCCGTTTATATGCGTTAGCGTGAGCGGTGGTTGCGACACTGGGTCCGATGCATCAATTCATGGTGCATGGACGAAGGGAAGTATTGGGTTACCACCGGGTCAGATGGTCCCACTTCCGCACCAACGCGGGGCTGGTGATGGCAACATTGGGTCCGATGCATCAATACATGGTGCCCCGACCATGAGAGGGTTTGGGGTACCCCGGAACCAGGCACCACCCCAGCAGGAAACGGGTTGTATGGTCAAAGGAGGAAAGAGTGATAGAACCGGGGTAAAGCAAAGAAAGTGTCCGACAATAGTGACTTGTGAGGCGGCCAGAGAGTCTGTCATATCTCGGTCCTATCCTCCAGGCAACGCTGTGGCCAAAACTGGGCTAAAAACTAAAAAAACTAAAAAATATTTCATCCAGGGAAATTTGGGTGAAAATGAAAAAAAAGTACCCCAAAATAGTCCTTCATTAGCCAGCAGCAGTCCCCTGTCGACTCATGTGACATTCCTCCAGGGTTACATAGAACCAGGGTGTGGGCTCCAAGCCATCTCCGAGACATCTCTAGTCCGTGTTGATAATGGGGGAAATGTACCCCAAAATAGTCCTTCATTAGCCAGCAGCAGTCCCCTGTCGACTCATGTGACATTCCTCCAGGGTTACATAGAACCAGGGTGTGGGCTCCGAGCCATCTCCGAGACATCTCTAGTCCGTGTTGATAATGGGGGAAATGTACCCCAAAATAGTGCATCATGACTCAGCAATCATCACACTCAACTTTGGTGAGAACCGGGCAAAGGGGTCAAAATCCGTCAATGTGGGGGGGTGAAACGGCTGTACGCGAGCCCTGGGGGGGGCACCCGGGACCGGGCAGTGCCCCCGGCAGAAGGAACCGGGTCAAACGGGCCAAAACAGGAAAAAAAATAAAAATAAAAAGAACCAGGCAAAAGGGGGGAAAATGGGAAAAAAGTGTCCGAAAATAGTGCCTCATGACCCCGCAGGAGTCCCCCGCGGACTCCCCTGACATTCCTCCATGGTCGAAATCATCCAACTCAACTTTGGTGAGAACCGGGAAAAGGGGTCAAAATGTAAAAATTGTACCCCAAAATAGTGCCTCATGACCCCGCAGGAGTCCCCCGCGGACTCCCCTGACATTCCTCCATGGTCGAAATCATCCAACTCAACTTTGGTGATAACCGGGCAAAGGGGTCAAAATGTAAAAATTATACCCCAAAATAGTGCCTCAAAATCGGGTAGAGTCACCTGGAAAGTGCCCTCGCATTCCTCCATGGCTCAAAATGTCGAACTTAAACTATTTGGAGAACCAGAGAAATGTAAAAAATACGCCCCAAAATAGTGTCTCAAAATCGGGTAGAGTCACCTGCAAAGTGCCCTCGCATTCCTCCATGGCTCAAAATGTCGAACTTAAACTATTTGGAGAACCAGAGAAATGTAAAAAATACGTCCCAAAATAGTGTCTCATAATCGGGTAGAGTCACCTGCAAAGTGCCCTCGCATTCCTCCATGTCAAACTTTAAGTATTGAGAGAACCAGGCTGGGGGGTCCTTGCGCCACAAAATTAGGCCCACTCAAAGTGCTTGGTGAGCGGATACATTCTTCCATGATTTGCAACAGCCGTTATTTTTCTGAGTGCACCCAAAAACTGGGTTTCCGATTTCGTGCAGACGGTAGTTTGAAAAGTATGGATGAATCTTTTTAACAGAGAAGTGGAAATGAAGCCCAGGGACTTTTTCCCCTTCTCCGTTGTACCAACCATCGGAGAAGGGGAAAAATCGGCCTGAAGCGCCAATAGTCTGGCCCCTTCTCCCGTTGGCACTCTGTCATTTTTTTGACAATTTTTCAAAACTTCATTTTTGATTATTTTAAGTTATAATTAAGCGTTTTCTTCCATTTTTTTTGCTTTCCACGGGTGGGGGCGCCTGGCAGGCCGCCTATGAGCACCCAAATTCGGCCTGGATCATCCAGGATTTGTGGGCTAAGCTCCATAAACTGACTAAATCACCCAGAGAGGTCACCTTTCTAGCCCAAATATATATAATACAAATACATTTAAATAGTAAAAGGTGCACTTGTGCTCTGCATTACCCGGAATTTTATTTTCATAGCCCCATGATAGTGATTAAAAATCATTTTCATGGGAAAAAAGTGTTAAAACGCCTGATTAAATTATATGCAGGACCCCAGTGAGCTCCAGACTATGTGCATTGTGTTGGGGAACCATATAAATGATAGAATAAATGCATTTAAATGCAAAAATAATGATTTTAAATCATTTTAGGGGGACAATTGTGGAGAGGAGCCTGAAAATGACTCTGCAGCAGGCTGCCTATGAGCACCCAAATTCGGCCTTCTTCACGGAACCACGACCCCTTCTGTGGAGGGTATTCTCGTGCCCCTGGTGAGCACACAATGACCCAGGAAAGAGTCTTCAAAACACAGGTAAAAACTGTGTTAAACAGTGGGGTAACATGTTTGAAATGACAGCACACTGCTGCTGGTTGGCAGGCTGACTCACTTGACTTGTCTCACACACACCCAGGGGGGGAGAAAGAGGACACATTGACCCAGGAAAGAGTCTTCAAAACACAGGTAAAACTGTGTTAAACAGTGGGGTAACATGTTTGAAATGACAGCACACTGCTGCTGGTTGGCAGGCTGACTCACTTGACTTGTCTCACACACACCCAGGGGGGGAGAAAGAGGACACATTGACCCAGGAAAGAGTCTTCAAAACACAGGTAAAAGTGTGTTAAACAGTGGGGTAACATGTTTGAAATGACAGCACACTGCTGCTTGTTGGCAGGCTGACTCACTTGACTTGTCTCACACACACCCAGGGGGGGAGAAAGAGGACACATTGACCCAGGAAAGAGTCTTCAAAACACAGGTAAAACTGTGTTAAACAGTGGGGTAACATGTTTGAAATGACAGCACACTGCTGCTTGTTGGCAGCCTGACTCACTTGACTTGTCTCACACACACCCAGGGGGGGAGAAAGAGGACACATTGACCCAGGAAAGAGTCTTCAAAACACAGGTAAAACTGTGTTAAACAGTGAGGTAACATGTTTGAAATGACAGCACACTGCTGCTGGTTGGCAGGCTGACTCACTTGACTTGTCTCACACACACCCAGGGGGGGGAGAAAGAGGACACATTGACCCAGGAAAGAGTCTTCAAAACACAGGTAAAACTGTGTTAAACAGTGGGGTAACATGTTTGAAATGACAGCACACTGCTGCTTGTTGGCAGGTAAACATTGTTTAATTGTTTTAAGTGTTTTTAAATGTATGGAACAGTGTTTTGTCTCTTTCAAAACTCTCCCGTCATTGGCCGGATACATGGGGACGATTTTATATTCACTATGACCGTTACTATTCCAGTGAGACGAAGTACGTCCGGTGACAGGAGTGATCCCATGTTAATTTTGTCCAAAAACCAGAGCATTCCCTTATCCAAGGTGACAGGGTCAGAGACAGTACTACCCAACCTGACGCATTGAGTACGGTCGGTTAGATAACTCTGAAACCAGCAAATGGCATTATGACCGAAACGAGACACCAACATAACATTAGACATAATGTGGTGATCTCCAGTGTCAAATGCTTTGGCTAGGTCAATAAACAATGCAACACAAACTGATTTCTTATCCAAAGCAGCCTTAATATCGTCTAGGACTTCCAGACTGGCAGTCTAAACCTAAAAACCTAAAACCACCAAACAAAAAACAACAGCTTCTCTAATAGAATGCCAGTATTAAACTGATCCATCTGCAGAGACACAATGTGAAGCCATGTGAGCACAGCAGAAATGTGCATTATGAAACCAGGAAACAGAGATCTCTGCAGACTCACCATCGAGGGCAGAAGGTCCTGAATTCTTATTCTCCTCAGCCAGCATCACTTCCTCTGCAGAGAAGTGAGGGAAATCAGAAATGAGCATCAGAAACAGAAAAGGGAAGTGTGTGTTTGTGTGTTTGTTTGTTAAAATGTGATCACTGCTCTACAGGGGAGTTACAGAAAACCATGATCAGTGCTGCCGTCATCTTCAGTTACGATGCTGTCGCCGTATTGTATTGCATCGCGTCGTACCGTATCGTACCATACCGTACCATAGCGTACCATACCGTACCATAGCGTACCGTGTATTACCGTGTCGTACCATACCGTACCATACCGTGTATTACCGTGTCGTACCATACCGTACCATACCTTGTATTACCGTGTCGTACCATACCGTACCATATCATACCGTACTGTACCGTATCGTACAGTACCGTATCGTTACCGTACAGTATCGTGCTGTACAGTAGCATACAGTACCGTCCCGTACATTAAAGTACCTTACAGTACCGTAACGTACAGTACCGTATCGTATATTACTGTACCGTACTGTATGGTAAGGTAGCGTAATTTGTCGTAACGTATCGTGTCGTAACGTATCGTGTCGTAACGTATCGTGTCGTTACGTATCGTGTCGTTACGAATCTTATCATACCGTATCGTAGAATATCGTAGAGTATAGTACCATATCGCATCGTAAAGCATCGTACCTTATCATGTCGTAACGTATCGCATAGTACTGAGCGTACCGTATTGTTCTTTGTATTGCATTCTAATGTAGGACACCTATTCATGTGTAATCTTTGAATCTTTTGTAAAATGCTTCGGGCTAAAACGATTAGTGCTGGAATATAGATGTTTGTGTTCTCATCTGGAGGTGAATCTGAACCTGCTCGGTCGATCCAGGCCCGGTACCCGTTCAGCTCTCTCTCGATCTGCTGCTGCCGTCTCAGCTTCATGAACGACCGCCGGTTCTCCACCCGTTCCCTCTCCTTAGCAAACTCCCTGCAGAACAAAAAGGAAAACACAGAGGCGGTTATTTACTCTGCGAGGGGCCGGGGATTTAAGGTCTCAGGGATAAATCATTCCTGCAGGAGACAATCAAGAGGCGGGAGGAGATGGAGTGGTTTTGAAATAAGCTTTCATTATGATCACAAGAGAAGAGGCGAGGAGAGACGACATGAGAGGAGAGGAGAGGAGAGACGACATGAGAGGAGAGGAGAGAAAAGGTAAGGAAAGGAAGTTAGAGGAGACGAGACGAAAGGTAAAGAGGACACGAGAGGAAAGAAACGAAAGTGAAGGAGAGGTAAGGAAAGGGAATGAGATGAGAGTCCAACAAGAGGAGAGGAAACGAGATGAGAGTAAAGGCAAGAAGAGGAGACGTAAGGAGACGAGAGGAAAGCAAAAGAAAGGAATGAAGAAGGGATGATGAGGAGAGGAAGAGAAGAAGAGGAGACCAAGGGGAGGAGAGAAGAGCATAAGAAATGTAAGCAAAGGAAAGGAAAGGAGTGGAGTGGATAGGAGACGAGAGGAAACAAAAGGAAGGTAAGGAAAGAAGAGGAGACGATGAGGAGACAAGAGGAGTGGAAGAGAGGGGAGAGAGAAATGTGGCAAAAGTAAGAAAAGAAAAGGAGAGGAAGGAAGGAAGGAGGAGACAAGGTTAGGAGAAAAGAAAGGGAATGAGAGAAGAGGAGACAGGAGGAGACAAGACAAGTGGAAAGGAAAGAAGGGAGACAAGAGGAGAGAAAGGAAAGGAAAGGGAATGAGAGTAGAGGAGATGAGTCGAACAAGAGGAGAGGGAAACGAGATGAGAGTAAAGGAAAGGAGACGAGAGGAAAGCAAAATAAAGGAATGAAGAAGGGATGATGAGGAGAGGAAGAGAAGGAGAGAAAAGCAAAAGGCAAGAAATGTAAGCAAAGAAAATAAAAGGAAAGGAGTGGAGTGGATAGGAGACGAGGAAGGAAAAGGAAGGAAAAGGAAAGAAGAGGAAGGAAGGATGAGACAAGCAGAGAGACAAGGTTAGAAGAAAAGAAAGGGAATGAGAGAAGAGGAGAGGGGACAGGAGGAGACGAGACAAGTGGAAAGGAAAGAAGGGAGAGGAGAGGAGAGGAAGAGGTAAAGAGGAGAGAGACGAAGCAGATAATGATCATGTGGATCCTCGTGAACCTTTCTGTCTCACTGGTGAACTGACTGAGCAGCGTGTCATGAAACAGCAGCTCAGTCTGACAGCAGACACTTTGCTCCTCCACCTCTCACAGGAAGCACAGAGACGTGGAGTCTGTCCTCCAGACGAACACACAGCAGACTCTCGTTACAGACAGCAGGCTTTGGGAGTGTGCTTAGATATACAAGACGTACCCAGAGAGGACCCCCAGCACCAGGTTGAGGACGAAGAAGGATCCGATGATGATGAGGGGGATGAAGTATATCCAGTTAAAGTTGGGGCCGAGGGCATCGTCGGTCTGAAAGCAGACAAATACGTTCAGACATTGATGCAAAACAGCAAGACAAT